TGTTGGAATTTCAATTGGGGTTGCATTGAATCTATATAGCAGTTTTGAAAGTATGGCCATTTTCACTATGTTGACTCTTCCTGCCTAGTAGCATTTTCGGAACACATTTCTTCTTAAATTGGGAATCATGAAATTGAAAAGGTTTTAGTGTTCCTTCTAGGAAATGGCTATGGCATTCTAAGTATATTAAAGGATGTAGTCTTTCCTAAACACTTGCTTTTGCTGATCACTATGAAGAGAAGTGTGGTACCAAGAGACACTGATTTCCCATTGCTAAGGCCAATACTCTGATGCTGCCTTTTAATTAGCTCTGACCAGAATTGTGTTTATAAAATTATAAATCAGACTAAGAAAACCTTAAAGACTCTTCATGTTCCAAACCTGTTATAATTTTTCTTCCCTTGCCATCTTAACCCTCCCTGTCCCACAAATGTTAACTACAGTTGTAGTATATGGATTTTAGGTTTGTTCACTAGCTCTGGAATGGAATGCCTGTAGGCTGGGTGACAGTGCTTTTACACATGTACACTTACCATTCCCTCAATATCAAGGTAGAAGAGGCAAGCACTGCTATTGCAGAAATCCCACAGAGGAAGCATGTCTAGAGGGTACTTCTAGACTCCTTCAACTCCAAAACCAAATATGTTTATCTCCAAAATGTTTCAACCCCAGGAACTGTGAAATGTAAAGAGGAGGAAATCCAAATATATATTCTCTTGGAACACATTTTTGGCCTCTCAAGCCCGTGTTAGATGCTTTACTTCTAAACTCAGGTTGGAGCTAAGGAGGACCTCTCCTTGACACTGAGCAGAGATCTCAAGGAAATGAAGGAACAAATTATGCAAATATCTAGAAGAACATTCTAGGATGTCAACAGCAAGTACAATGGTTCTGAGGCAGGGCACATTTAATGGGGTCAAGAAAGACCAAAAGGACAGTAAAAATGGGAAGGTCACAGGAGACTGGGTAAAGTACAGGACATCAGGACATGTAGGTCCTAATAGGGAATAAATCCACCTCCCCAGTGAATATCCACCTCCCCAGTGAATACTCAACACATGTGAGGCAACTAGCCATTTAAGCAGCTGCAAGTTTGCAACCAGGCACTATTCTCACCATTGAGCCTATAGCATTCAACACAGGGCAAATGATATCATGAGTTCAATAACATTTATACTTATTTTTTTATTAGTGCATATTGTCATATATACTGATCACATTCATCATATGGGATTTGTTCTTATACATAGTATATCTTAATTCTTTTTTTCCCCATTCCCCTCCTCTCCCTTCATCCCCTCCCCATTTACACAAGCTTTGTTTTTTTCTATTTTTTTTCTGTCCCCCCCACCCCCACCCCAGTTCCCCTTAAAAATAACATTTGTTAAACTAAATCATCTTTGGGATTAGTAGAGATTCTAGCCTCTCAAGTGTTTGTTATCAGTTTCCTTTTGTTGCTGTAACAAGTCACTACAAACTTGTTTACTTGAAAAATGATTATATGATTATAATTCTGTGAGCCACAAGTCTAAAATGGCTATTATTTGGCCAAAGACAAGAAGTCAGCAAAAGTGGTTCTTTCTGGAAGCCTTGGGGGAGTTGTTACCTTTTCCAGTGTCTAGAGCCCACCTCCATTCTTTGACTTATGACTTACTTCTTCCTTCATCTTCTAAGCCAGCAGCACAGCATCTCCAAATCTATTTAACTCTTGATTCTTCCTTCTACAGCTACTTTAAAGGATCCCTTTATCCACATTAGACCTACCTGGATAATCCAAGATAATGTTAAAATCAGCTGATTAGCAACTTCAATTCTCCCTTGTTATGTAATTTAACATATTCATACCTTCAAGGGATTACATAGATGAACATATTTGGGGGTGGGGGAATTTTATTCTGTCAGAGTGTTTTTAACCTGAATTAAATGCATAGCTTTAAATACTTTTGGGGTAACACTATGGGAGCCCTTACCACCATCTCTTGTATTAGCTTACATTTAGCTGTGTCCTCCTTTTTTGTCTTCTATACATTCAACATTTTATAGTCTAGTATGTCTAGTCAGTTCTTGGATGTGCCATTTTAGGGCCTGACTTAAAATAAATGTTTAGGAATGTCTCTTCCCTCCTACTTACCATCTTCTGGAACTTAATTCTTAGAGAAGCCTTTCCATGTGCTGGGACACACATTGTTCCCCCAGGCAGCTTCTATTGCCTATTTATGGTGACTATCAGAGTTGAGTTCTTCTATCTTCCCAGAACTCCATACATTCATATGCCACTAGACAGCTCTCTGCCCTGTGCTAATGAACAGATATTGCTACTTTGTGAATGTCCTATTACTTTGATGTGCTGCTTTTTCCAGCTCAATCTTTGCCTTGCGGTCTGGCTCTCAATTTTGGTCAAAAAGCATCACCCCCATCTTTGCTGGAGCATGTTTTTGCTTTTGTCAGCACCTAACATTTCAGTTACATCACATTTCTAAAGACTGAGCTTCAACATGTTCTGGGAGTGTTTCCCCCACACATATCATGTGTTTATCTTAGGATGGGTGGGTTTAATTATTAAAGGCTTTGGAGACTGTCTTAACAAAGTTTACTTAAGGAGAACAAATTAATGTCTCTTTTTTAACCAGCATGAAAGAAAAGTCCATTCTTTTTCATTCAGTGTGATGATGTGTACAATATTCTCTTTAAATCTGTATTATTGTAGAAGCTTATGTAAAAATGGACAATTTAAAAATTATCACGTGTGCAACATATATAGGAGAGTAACTGCATCATTTTTGTGGTTGTAAAATACTAGAAGCAAATTAAATGTCCATTAGTGAGGAAATAGTTAAATAAAATACAGCACTATGAAACATTATCTAGCAGTTAAAAAGAATGAGATAAGTGTGCTGAAAGAACAGTCTCTAAGATGTTTAAAGGGGAAGGTGTGTCTACATAGAATGTCTCAGATCACACAAGAAAGTGAGGAGCTCTTGCTTCTGAAAAGGTGAACCAAGGGTTGAGAGTCAGAATGAGACTTACTTTTGGTTTATTTCATTTGTCCTTCAGTTATAGCCTGAAATCTATTTCTTTTTTTTTTCTGGTACTGGAAATCGAACTCAGGTCCTTGCACTTGCGTAGCAGGCGGTAGCCTGAAATCTAATCACTAACGAATACAAGTTTCGTTTTTGCTTAGGAGGCATTTCTACCTAAAAAGACAGGCTTGGGTTCATTTAGGTTTTCTGCCCAACAGGGTGTCCCCATGAAACTGTCTTGAGTTATTAGATTGGCCCCAGTTGAAGTAAATTCTCCTGCTAAGATGTATGTTATTAATAATTAAAAGTAGAAGTAACCTTATACACCATTTGGATTATTTTTATTGATTTGTACTTTTATTGATTTGTACAGGGAAGAGAAAAACATTAAAGGTTCAATTAAGTAAACATTGAGCATTATACCCATGTTTTGTTTGAAATCAAATTTAGTGTATTGTATAAAGCAGCAATAAGAGCTGAAGTAGAGGTGGTAGAATCATTTGTGATTGAAGGGGACACTTGTTTCAGTGTTTTATGATAATGCTAATTACTTACTTAAATAATTACCCTTATTTTACCAACATTTGGTATTTTATTTATGATTTTAAGATGTAGGAATTCACCCTACAAAACTCTTTTCAGAAATGAATTATCCTCGTTAATGGGATAACAGAATGTATTTGAATTTTTTTTTTTTGGTAAGGGGGATCGAAATTAGGACCTTGCACTTGTGAGGCAGGCGGTGGAAACAGAGCTAAATCCCCAGCCCCTAGAATGTATTTTAAATTTTTTAAACCACGTTTTACTTTTTTAAAAAGGAAAGAAAAAAGAAAACAAGAAAGGGAAAAAATCCAGTGGAAGTTTCCAAACAGATAAAAAGACTGTAGATCGAATGAGAGGCAATTTCCAATTAAAGGACAGTGATATGACTACCCAAAAGTTTACTTGGGGAAAAACTCAAGGTGAATCTAAGAAATGGGAGACAGAATGATGTGAGACTTTGTGGGACACAGTGTAGACAACTCCCACAATCTGAGCATCATGCAGGATATAAAAACCATCACACTGAAATGCTATTGAACTGATCTTTAGAAACCACAGAGATGCTTCTGCACCTACCAAAAATCAACAACACAGATGCAAAATGAAACATGTTTATTTTCTGTAATAATTTCTGTAAATTACAAAGACAAAATGCTAAACTACAGCATATACCTTTTCAATATTTAACTAGAGTACTTGTAATAAATATGCATCCTGAAACAAGATAAAAGGCTACACTTTGTCAGGCATCCTACAAAATGTCTCAAGTTTTATACTCTGCAGCATTCTGTGTGGGGGCATGTGGATGGTTGTTCTGAATTTTTTTAAGTGCTGTGACAAAAAGTCCTTTCACATTTCTTTGGAGCATCTTTGACATTGCTTAGCTATAATTAACTTAAGAAAAGAAACAACATCAAGCTTTAAAGCCATTTT